TTAATAGAAAGAATTTTTGTCAAAAATATGGTTGTGTAGAAGTCAGTCTTGCGTTTTTTGTTGTTGTTGTTTTTTGTTTTGTTTTGACACGGTGTCTTGCTCCGTTGCCAGGCTGGAGTGCAGTGGTGTGATCTCAGCTCACTGCAACCTCTGCCCCCTGGGTTCAAGTAATTCTCCTGCTCAGCCTCCTGAGTAGCTGGGACTACAGGTGTGTACCACCATGTCCAGCTAATTTTTTTTTGTATTTTCCATGGAGACAGGGTTTCACTGAGTTGGCCAGGATGGTCTCGATTTCTTATCCTTGTGATCCACCCTGCCTCAGCCTCCCAAAGTGCTGGGATTACAGGCATGAGCCACCATGCCCAGTGAGTTTTTAGGAGAAAAACCGTTTGCCTTGGGTGTGCATTGATTCAGGTGCTATCCTGTGCTGAATCGTTTTTTGTCTTTTTTTTGTTTTTTTGTTTTTTATTTATTTATTTTTTGAGATGGAGTCTCTCTCTTGTTGCCCAGGCTGGAGTGCAGTGTTGCAATCTCAGCTCACTGAAACCTCCGCCTCCCAGGTTCACAAGATTCTCCTGCCTAGCCATGGGATTACAGGCACACCACCATGCCTGGCTAATTTTTTTTTTTTTTTTGTATTTTTAGTAGAATCGGGGTTTCACTATATTGGCCAGGCTGGTCTCGAGCTCCTAACCTCATGATCCACCCGGCTCAGCCTCCCAAAGTGCTAGGGTTACAGGCATGAGCCACCACGCCTGGCCTGAATCTTTGTATTGAATTTTTATCCATGAAACTGGATTTTACATATGTCATACCATTTGGAGCTTTGTAACACAGAAAACTGTTGGTTTACTTTTTCACATGCAGGCTTTAAAAGTAAATCCTTGTGCTCATCTGATTCTCTGCTAAATCAACAAATCGCTGGAATACTTTAGTAAGATCCTATCTGCATTCTGCTCCCCTCCTTACCAACTGTGAACAGCTTCCCCTATTTTCCCAGGTTCCTTCTCTCTTCTTCCTCCTCTGTGACATGTTACTCTCTCCCCATCACTCACCCTGGGGGATGTGTTTCTCTCCTGCTTTCCCTGCCGTTTTCTCATGACTAGAGGTGATTTCAGAGTTTTCTGGCCATTTCCCAGGCCACATCAGTGGTAGAGGCAAAGGTACAAAGGGCAGGTGATACTGTCTTAGGTCTCACAGGGTGAGAAGTCTCGTGCCCAACCTCAGGTTCGCCCCTTTGGTGTTGGTCCTGACACCATCTGGGACCCTATGTGACCCTGCTGGGAACCTGGCGTGGTCCTAGAAGGAGCTCATCAAGTCATCTTTCTTGACTTCTGTTTTGGACCCTGCTCAGCATGGATGGTAAAAATATGGCCTGATAGCAAAAATGTTCTGTCATTTTTAAAATATGTATCCCAGATTGTTTCTTTCTCCCTGTGGTCTGCAGGGTTTGCCTCTCTTAGATCAGTTCAGCACAGCAAAGCCAAAAGTAGCACAATCAGCAATTTTATCATTAGCGAAACCACAGGAGAAACAGGGAAACCTCCTGAGGAACCATGCTTTGAAGCTGTGTGTGGGATCAGTGTTGGTATCAGTTGTTAGCTTGAGGTTGGTGAAGAGCAGTTACCATTTGGGTTGGCAAGAACCAGCTTTGGCACAGTCCTTTGCTACATGGTAAGAACTATGACATGAAAGTGGACAGCTTATGCTGGGAAGCTTGGCCCCAGACACGGTCCAGCGCAGTCAACAAAGGGGGTCGCACAAGCAGCTCTCAGCTTTGGGTTCGGGGGCAGTGCCTGTGTTGGATGGGACCTGCTAGATGGGGGTGCAGCACACAGCAGGGCCAAGTCCACGTCCTTCCGATGTAGCCAGCGGGGTGGGAGCCCAGCAGTTAAGTTCCTGTCCTCCCCCAGTGACCTTAGCCATCCCTGAGCTAGGTGAATCTAGGTTTTTGTTTTTAATATTTATATACATTAATTCTATTTGTAGTATTTGCTACCTATTCTATTAATACAACCTCTTACAATTATAAAATTTTTTTTTTTTTCCTGAGTTGAGTCTGGCCCTGTCACCCAGGCTGGAGTGCAGTGGTACAATCTTGGCTCACTGCAACCTCCACCTCCTGGGTTCAAGCGATTTTTTCACCTCAGCCTCCCAAGAAGCTGCGATTACAGGTGTGTGCCACCATACCCAGCTAATTTTTTTTTTTTTTTTTGAGACAGAGTCTGGCTCTGTCGCTCAGGCTGGAGTACAGTGGTACAATCTTGTCTCACCCCAACCTCTGCCTCTGAGGTTCAAGGGATTCTCCTGCTTCAGCCTCCCAACTAGCTGGGACTACAGGCACAGCCACCATGCCCAGCTAATTTTTGTATTTTTAGTAGAGACAGGATTTCACCATGTTGGCCAGGCTCGTCTCAAACTCCTGACCTCAGGTGAGCTGCCCACTTCGGCTTCCTAAGTGCTGGGATTACAGGTGTGAGCCAACGCACCCAGCCAAAATGTTTAATAGTACGTTTTTGTTTTTGAGGCAGTATCTCGCTCTGTTGCCATCACTGGAGTTCAGTGGTGATATCATAGCTCACTGCAGCCTCAAACTCCTGGACCTGAGATTCTCCCACCTCAGCCTCCCAAGTAGTTGGGACTACAGGCGTGCACCACCACTCCCAGTAATCTTTTTAGTTTTATTTTGTAAAGACAGGGTCTTGTTATGTTGCTCAGGCTGGTCTTGAACTCCTGGCTTCAAGTGATCCCCCAACCTCAGCCTCCCAAAGTGCTGGGATTACAGCCAGGAGCCACTCTGCCCAACCTAATAGTACTTCAGCTGAGTAACTTTGTGCTGGTTTGTATGTATAAAATGGTCAACAACGTAGCAAAGACTGCAGATTTATTTTAGAGCAAAGTGTTAGTTAACCCCTTTAGATTTTTTTATTTTTTTGAGATGGAGTTTCACTCTTGTTACCCAGGCTGGAGTGCAGTGGTGCGATCTCGGCTCACTGCAACCTCCGTCTCCTGGGTTCAAGCAATTCTTCTGCCTCAGCTTCCCGAGTAGCTGGGACTACAGGCACGCGCCACCATGCCCAGCTAATTTTCGTATTTTTAGTAGAGATGGGGTTTCTCCATGTTGACCAGGATGGTCTCGATCTCCTGACCTCGTGATCCACCCACCTCGGCCACTCAAAGCGCTGGGATTATAGATATGAGCCACCGTGCCTGGCCCCCGTTAAATTTTTTTGACAAACAAAAGTGCATTTGTATTATATACATATATTTATTTATTTTTCTTTTTTACATTTTTTTACCTTTTTTTAGTAAATTCTCCCAGATTCTTATTATATATTTTAAAGTTATTACTATAAAAGTGTGTGTAATAAAAAGTGAGATTCCCACTCCAATCTCCCATGTCTCCATAAAGAAGTTGGAAACCACTGTACGTTTCCAGAACTTTTTCTGTAAGTTCACTGATACGGCAGGAGTGTGGAAGGGGGATATTTTATTTTCAAACGTAAATTACGTCATGCTCTGTGTATATCCTACAGCTAGCCTGCGTTACTCATTGAATCTGAGGCCTCTTTCCTTATCAGTACATAGAGACCTGCCTAATTCTGAAGATTGTCTACAATAATTATTTCACATTCTCATAATGATGCATATATTAGTTCTACAAATTCTTACTATTACAAATAATGCTGTGACAAGTATTCTTGCATATATACCTGTGGGTTTGTGTACAAGCATGAGTGTTTAAGCTGTGCACATATGACTGTGTGTGAATGTGCCTGTTGTCACCATTGATAGCAGATGGATAAAATTCAGTGATGAGTGCTGGAGACCTCAGTGCTATGAAAAGATGACGATCTCAAAACATGTACACTTCCACCCTTGGACTGGCTAGTTATTACTAGTTAGTGTGCATTATGGGATTTGAATGAAAAGTTTCTCTGCACTGTAATTTCATAAGTTGATGGTTCAAAGAAGAGTTAAGTTTGAAGGTCGGTGGTCTTTTAAAAAACTCTTATTCCTTTGGCCAGGCATGGTGGCTCATGCCTGTAATCCCAGCACTTTGGGAGGTAAAAAAAAGCAGGAACGTCCTTTGAGGATAGGAGTTTGAGACCAGCCTGGGCAACATCACAAATTCTCATCTCTTAAATAAATAAACAAAATAAAACAACAGAAAAAATCCTTTTATTTCTCAAACGATTTTAAAGAAGTTCTGTGTATGGGGCCAGGGCCCACATCCGTTTAAAGTAGGGCTGCTGGCTGCTGGCGAACTAGGAGAGGCCTCAGTTGCGGGAGCCAGGCAGCATACAGATGGCAGCTTTCTGCCACAGATGGGATGGGCTGGGATAGGCATCAGGACGGAAGACAGCTGACTCTTTTCTCAGCCACATTTGCGCATGCAGCCATTTAGATATGGAAATAATATGTAAATGGCTTTCATCTCAACTTAATATGCTGTTTGTGCCCAGTTGGTAAAATTTTATTTATTTATTTATTTATTTATTTTTGAGATGGAGTCTTGCTCTGTTGCCCAGGCTAGAGTGCAGTGGTGCAATCTCAGCTCACTGAAACCTCCACCTCACAGTTTCAAGCAATTCTCCTGCCTCAGCCTCCCAAATAGCTGGGACTACAGGCACGTACCACCACACCTGGCTGATTTTTATATTTTTGGTAAAAGCAGGGTTTCACCATGTTGGCCAGGCTGGTCTTGAACTCCTGACAGGTAATCCTCCCACCTCGGCCTCCCAAAGTGCTGGGATTACATGCCTGGCCCCCAGTTTGTAAAATGTTAATAATTAGCTTACTAATTAGTCTAAGCACATATTCACAAGATACAGGCTTTCCACATCAAAAAGTATAGCATGTTTTTTTTGGTTCAGAGTTTTATTCACTACAAAATCCAGGTGATTGATTCTTGATTTGGGAAGTGGGAAGTACACTGCTCTGAGGCCTGACCATCAGAAATTTCCAGTAACAACACTGCTTCTCATTTTCCTTCCCAGTGCTCGGCCTGGTTCTCCCCATGTGGGCCATAGCCCTGATTTCCTTTGGTGTCGCTCTCCTGTTCGCCTTTTTTGTGTGGCTCTTCGTGTGTCCGTGGATGTGGAGGAAAATAACAGGTATGGGGTTTTTTATTCTTCTGATTTACAGAAATGCTCCTGATTCCTGAATTCTCACATGTAACACGCCACAATCCTTACTAACGGGGGAAACGGAAGTGTGGGTGACTCCAGAACATACCGCATCCTCTGTCTCTCGGCTCCTGAGCGCTTTGTGGCTCAGACGTTTTCTGGATAACTTGTAACCCAGGTGGGCAGGAAGGACCCAGTTGCCAGGAGTGACTGGAAGTTAAACGTGCAGTTCAGTTCGGCCAGCCTGTGGGAAAACATTAGCCTTCATGGAAATGCAAACTAATACCACAAGGAGGTTTTGTTTCTCACCCACAAGAAAATGGCTAAGAGTAAAAAGTTCTAGTAATTCCAAATGTGAAGAAGTAAATAATTGGAACTCTCCTAGGTTTATGCTGAAATGTAAAATGGTGCAACCACTTTGAAAGTTAGGTTTACAGTTATAAAGATTCTTACACTTACCATGTGGGCCAGTAATTTCATTCCTAGCTATTTATCCAAAGAAGTGAAAACATGTGTTCATAAAAAGACTTGTATACAGATCTTTTCATCATAATAGCCCAAACAGGCAAACGGGTAACCAAATTGAGTAAATGCATGCACTGGCCCACCTCGCAGCAATAGAGAATGAACTGCTGGAGACCTGACAGCTTAAGGCATCCCACAGCCATGATACCGAGCAGAAGCCCATGATCCAGAAGGGCACCTATCCTGCACGCTGGCACCTATCCTGCACGCTGGCATTTTTCATAATATTTCCATACATTTTCATTTAAAAGTTTTATGGATCTTTCCATTAAATTTAAGAATAAGGAAAATTCATCTGTAGCAACAGAAAACGCTGATCGCCTGGAAAGGGTGGAGTTGGAAAAGGCAGCTTGGGAACTTATCAGGGACATGAAATGTCTTTATATTCATCAGCGAAGGGGCTTTAGAGTGTACCCACTTGCCACAGGCCATCACCTACGTGCTTAAAATGCATGCATTTTGTTATATGTATATATATAACCTATAATAATAATTGTATTATTATAGTACCATAATAATGATACTATGGTATAATACAATTTTTATACAAAAACTGTATAGTATTATCATAACTGTATTAATATAGTTATAGTAATTATAACATAAATTACATGTAATGAAACAAAACAATAAAAATAAAACCAATTTTATTAAAAGGAAAATGATTTTTAAAAAGAAGAAGAAGGGCCGGGCGCGGTGGCTCACGCCTATAATCCCAGCCCTTTGGGAGGCCGAGGCGGGTGGATCACGAGGTCAAGAGATCGAGACTATCCTGGTCAACATGGTGAAACCCCGTCTCTACTAAAAATACAAAAAATTACCTGGGCATGAAGGCGCGTGCCTATAATCCCAGCTACTCAGGAGGCTGAGGCAGGAGAATTGCCTGAACCCAGGAGGGGGAGGTTGCGGTCAGCCGAGATGACGCCTTGCACTCCAGCCTGGGTAACGAGTGAAACTCCATCTCAAAAAAAAAAAAAAAAAAGGCCGGGCGCAATGGCTCATGCCTATAATCCCAGCACTTTGGGAGGCTGAGGTGGGTGGATCATGAGGTCAAGAGATCAAGACCATCCTGGTCAACAAGGTGAAACCCCGTCTCTACTAAAAAAAAATACAAAAATTAGCTGGGCATGGTGGTGTGCACCTGTAGTCCCAGCTACTGGGGAGGCTGAGGCAGGAGAATTGATTGAACCCAGAAGGCGGAGGTTGCAGTGAGCCGAGATTGTGCCATTGCACTCCAGTCTGGGTAACAACAGTGAAACTCCCGTCTCAAAAAAAAAAAGAAGAATATGGCTTAGGAAGTCAGCCAGGGCTGTTTTCCTATTCCCAGGAACATACTTGAATTCCAAGCCTTGAAGTCACATGCTTTTTACAGGGCTCTCAAAAAACAGATATTGACATTTGGTCTCAGCATGTACCATAGGGTCACATTTTAGTATGGTTGGATCTGGATTTTATGTTTTGAAGAAGACCAAAATACATAAGGAGACAAAGCATGCTCCTGAATTGGAAGACAGTATAGTAGAGATGCCAGTTCTTCTCAGATTCATCTCTAGACTTCAGATAATGTAAATAGAAATCCCAGCAGGATATTTTGTAGATTTAGACAAGCCACTTTTAAAGTTCATGTAGAACATCAAAGGAACTAGATGAGCTGGAATAATTTTGGAAAACAAAAAGTTGGAGGATTCATATTAACCTGACTTCAAGACTTTTTTTTTTTAATTTTTTTATTTTGAGAAAGAGCCTCACTCTGTTGCCCAGGCTGGAGTGCAATGGCACCGTCTCAGCCCACTACAACCTCCGCTTCCCAGGTTCAAGTGATTCCTGTGCCTCAGCCTCCCGAATAGCTGGGATTACAGGCATGTGCCGCCATGCCTGGCTAATTTTTATATTTTTAGTAGAGGCGAGATTTCAACATGTTAGCCAGGCTCGAACTCCTCACCTCAGATGATCCACCCACCTCTGCCTCCCAAAGTGCTAGGTTCACAGGCATGAGCCGCCACACCCAGCTGAAGACTTCTTATGAAGGCACAAGGCAGTGTGAAATTAGGGAAGAGAGAGAGACGCATAGATTAATGGAACAAGAATAGAGTCTATAAATAGACCCTAATACAGCACATGCATTTTTGATGAAGGTACAGAAACAGTTCAATGGAGAAAGGACAGTCTTTTCAACAAATGGTTTTGGAACACTAGGCATCCATATGCCAAAGTAAGAACCTTCACCTAACCCTCACTTTAAAAATTAACTTAAAGTGCCTCATAAATCTAAATATAAAATTTAAAAACAATAAGACTTTTAGGAAAAAAATATAAGGGAAAACTTTTATGACCTTGGGTTGAGAAAAGTGTTTAGATATGAAACCAAAAACATGATCTATACAAGAAAAAGTTAGGCCAGGCACGGTGGCTCCCACCCGTAATCCCAGAACTTTGAGAGGCTGAGGCGAGTGGATCACCTGAAGTCGGGAGTTTGAGACCAGCCTGACCAACATGGAGAAAGCTGTCTCTACTAAAAATACAAAATTAGTTCGGTGTGCTGGTGCATGCCTGTAATCCCAGCTACTCGAGAGGGTGAAGCAGGAGAATCACTTGAACCCGGGAGGTGGAGGTTGCATTGAGCTGAGATCATACCATTGCACACAAGCCTGGGCAACAAGAGTGAAACTCCATCTCAAAAAAAAAAAAAAAAAAAGATCAAGTTAGTAAGTTGTACTTCATCAAAATTTGAAACTATTGCTCTGTGAGATGTATTATGAACAGAATGGGAGAAAATGTTTGCAAATCCCATACCTGACAGTGGACTTGTATTAAAAAAATATAAACAAATTTTAGAAAGGAAACAACTCAGTCAAAAAAAATGAGCAAAATAGGTCTGGCATGGTGGCTCACTGCAACCTCCACCTTACAGGCCCATTACAATAGGCCTGTAATCCCAGCACTTTGGTAGGCCGGGGCAGGCAAATTACGAGGTCAGGAGTTCGAGACCAGCCTGGCCAACATGGTGAAACCCCATCTCTACTAAAAATACAAAATTAGTCAGGTATCATGGAAGGTGCCTATAATCCCAGCTACTTGAGAGGCTGAATCAGGAGAATCCCTTCAACCTGGGAGACAGGTTGCAGTGAAACAAGATCATGCCGCTGCACTCCAGCCTGGGCAAAAAGAGTGAAACTCCATCTCAAAAATAAAAATCTTTAAATAGACACTTTACCAAAGAAGATAGATGGATAGCAAATGAGTCCATGAAAAAGTGCTCAACATCACTAGTCATCGGGAAGTGCAGATTCACATGACATTGAGATACTGCTACCACCTACTTGAATGGCTTTTAAAAAATACTGACAGTAGATTGGGTGTGGTGGCTCACACCTATAATCCCAGCACTTTGGTAGGCCAAGGTAGGTGGATCGCGAGATCAAGAGATCAAGACCATCCTGGCCAAAATGGTGAAACCTCATCTCTACTAAAAGTTAAAAAATCAGCTGGGCATGGTGGCGCATGCTTGTAGTCCCAGCTACTCGGGAGACTGAGGCAGGAGAATTGCTTGAACCTGGAAGGTGGAGGTTGCAGTGAGCCAAGATCGCTCCACTGCACTCCAGCCTGGGCAACAGAGTGAGACTCCATCTGAAAAATAAATAAAACATTTATAAATTTAAAAAAATAGTAATAATAAATACTGACAGTACTAAATGCCGTCAGTATTTAGAAGAATGAAGAGCAACTGGAACTCATACATTGCTGGTGGGAATGTCAGATGGAACAGAGAAACTGTTTGGCAGCTTCTTATATGGATAACACTTGCCATAAATATACTCTTAACCACTCACAGGTATTTCCCTAGAAAAATGAAAACTTAAGTTCACACAAAAATCTGCACATGAATGTTTATAGCATCTTTATTTCCAGTCACCCAAAACTAGAAACAATCCACATTATCCACAGAATAAACAAACTGTGGTGCCTTTGTCCATTTGAATACTGCTCAGCGATTAGAGGGAACAAATTACCGATTCATAGAACAACGTGGATGAATTTCAAAGGCATTATGCTGAGTAGAAGCCAGTCGCAAAAGATTGCTTTTATTTTATGATTTTATTTATGTGACTTTATGAAAAAGGAAATTTTTCAGAAATTGAAACTTCTGATTCTGAGGTTAGTTTAAGAGAACAGAGGCCAGTCCAGGTGGCTGTAGATTTACAGAACATTAGCGCTGGAAGGAACTGTGGTATTGGGCTCTAGCCCTTTTTCAGTTGTTTTTGCATATGATAACTCAGGCCCTAAACTTCCATCTTTTCCTCAATTGCTGAATTTTCTAGCTAGAGTTTTCCAGGTAATTAAATGGACTTTTGACTTCTCTTTTCTTTACTTTTTTTGAGACAGAGTTTCTCTCTGTTGCCCAGGCTGGCATGCAGTGGGGCAATCTCGGCTCACTGCAACCTCCACCTCCCGGGTTCAAGTGA